AATTAACGGGTTAACGCGGATTAATCCATCATCATGATTAATCTGATTAAGATTTTTAACACAATTAACCCATCTGCAGCGCAGAATGATTCAAAATCCCTGAATTGTCTTTGTTAACCCATTTCGGACAGTTTTGGTGCGTTCCATTTGCCCTCGGAATTCGTATTCCGAGTCGGATTCAGAGTTTTGAGGTCAGAAGTGACGATATGCGTGCGCCCATTTCTCAGAGATCCGAGAAATCTTGGAGCAGCACAGAGGATCCCGAGTTCAGAATCCAAAATGGCTGCACCCTTTATCAACAGAAGGGAAAGTTGTAGTTTTATACTGTTTAAGCACCACTTCTCATTTGTGACTCGTTAAATCGGTCGCACACACTATACCGTCCATCTTATCTGTGGACGTGTTGCTACGGAGTTTTATATGTAAAGCACCACACATAATGTGTTATCAACTGATATTGCTAACAATGGCAATTAACCGGGCTAGAATTGGATTTCATGATTAGTCGGATTATTTGTCGGATTTACGGTAGTTCGTGCTGATTGTAAGTGAATGAACATGAAGACCATTTAAACTAAGGTACATTAAATCCGACAAGTTATCCGGCTAAGCAAAAAATCTTCCTTTTTGATATGGGTCCATGGTATTGCACTTCTGTGGCAGATGGAATGCATCCGACTCGTGTTCAAGATGTTCAATAAACATGTTAAGTGCATACATATTGCCTTTTTTCTTGAGTCTGTTTGCTCATGCAGAATAAAATGTGATTAATATAGATTAAAAATGAATGATATAATCGTGATTAATCGAAATTAATCCACAGCAACCACGTGATTAATCTGATTAAAAAATTTTATCGTTTGATAGTGTCATGACCTGCACATCCAGTCCTCGTGTGTGCCACGCCCTCCTCGTTAACCTCGTGTCAATTCCCATCGTATCAGCTGTCCTGCGTTTATTCTGAGGTCACGCCCTGTATTTATTCCGCGTTCAAGTCTGTTTCCCCAGGTCTGTCATTGACGTTTTGTCCTTAGTTGTGGTCTGTCTGCCCTAAATAAAACCCGTCTTTTGGATTTCCGCATGTCCGATTCGTCCTTCGCCTCGTCCTGCCTGCTCACCTAACGTAGGATGTGACAGACAGCACTAATATATATATATAGGCCTATATATATTATACCAGTTTGTGCATTTCTCAGAACAATATGTGCAAACCGCAAAACAAGTAACTTGATCAAAATGCTTAGTTTATGCCTCAAAAGTAAATATATGTGTCAGTGAAACTGTCAGTGTTATCAGAGTGACAAATCGTCACACCATTGCCTATGAGCAAGATGGTCAAAATTTGTGAACATGTTTTCAATATAATGGTTTGTTCTGTATTGAAAATTTTGACAATGATTTTGATAATACTGTCTGAAAATCCATAACGCAACATATTTTCAGTGTGGTATAACAATTTCTGTACTACAAAGTTTCAAATTACTGTGTTTACTGTTCAGGGATTGATTGCAAGATACTGGATATACTGTAAGTAGGATGTTTGGAATATTGTTTGAAAATGCAAACGTAGAAGTAGTTTTGGTAAGTTACAAAGTACAAGCAGTACTGAGGGGATTGATTGCCAGAGACTGCATATGATACAGTATTGTTATACTGTTCTTTACAGTATTGTACAGTAATTTGTTACAGTAACATAGTTATAAAGAAAAGAATGCCTTTTATAGTATCAAATTGCATAAAGGAAAAAAGTGCAAATGGACAGAGGAATCACTCCATAGGACATAGTAATGCGGGCAGAGCTGTACTGTACATCCTGAGGTTCTTGTCTGTCAGATTTCTGTCTGACAGATTTTCATACATATCACAGTGGATATTCTCTCTAGCAATGCAGAGTGGAAAATACCTCCTTGAATGACGGATCCATCCTCTGCAGGAGTCCATATTTATCTGATCACATGCTGCGTTCATGGCATCCAACACGCTCAACTGGGTATGGGGCTGATGATCATAAACCTTCCACTTCCAAGTAGAAAAACATTCCTCAATTGGATTAAGGAAGGGGGAATAGGGTGGGAGAAATTCTGTGATTATCCTGTCATGATAAGTAAACCACTCTCTGATGGTGTGTGAGTGATGGAAACACATCATCCCAAATGATCACATATTTTTGGAGATCATTCTGGATTAGACCCCTCTCATTTTCAGGTATAAGATCTCTGTACAGGGTGTCTAAAAAGGTCAACCAATGTTGTGTGTTTTATGGGCCAACAAGGGATATATGAGCAAGCACACCATTGTCAGAGATGGCTGCACAGATGGTGAGATTCCCTCCCCACTGGCCTGGAATATCAACAGTAGTTCTGTGACCAATGAGATTCCTTCCATGCCTTCTGCCTTTAGCCAGATTGAAGCCTGCCTTATCAACATATATGAAATTATGAAATAGTTCCCTCAAGTCTAGATCTATTATACGCTATTGCTATGTCCGCATGTGTGTGTGTGGGTGTCTATGTGTATCCATCTTTCTCTTCCGATCCCGTTCAGATTCCCAAGCCTGCTGATTTGGTTCCACGTTTTCCATTTCTCCCCACGAACGCAGTGCCAAAACTGGATGAACTGGCTTTCATAGCCTCATTCCAGCTTCCCGCCTCTCCGCTCACGGACTATAACAGAAGCCCCACAAACCCATTGGACAGCGCTCTGCTCTAGCTTTCGCTCGTGCTGTTTGCTACCTTTGTCTTTGCTTGCGATTGTTGTATTTGATCTCCCGTTACGAACTGTTTTGGCTTTCGGTACACTCTCAGATTTCGATATGGTTTTGGTTGTTATACTCTTGTATTTGTTTACCTGCTATTTTGACCTATAGGCCTACTGTCTGATTAACAACTTTTTTTTTAACTTGGTTGCCCTGTGTAAATACTTTGTATATAAATATATATGTGTAAGGATGGTAGGGAGTGACTGCCGTTTGTTTTGTCTCTGTTTTGTGGTTAGTAAGGTTTAGGTTAGCAATTTTTGTTTTCATTTTCTGTTGGTTTAGGGACGTTTTCGTATAGGTACTTTTAGACCACTGCTAATTATATAAATATACTAAAAGTAAGTATAATGTACCCAGAAATGCAGAGAGATCTCACTCCTCACCTCTTTAGTTTTTCCACCAGTACTAAACAGGTTTGTTTCAAAGTGTCAACTATGTAACAAATAACAGAGGGATGAGAACATTTTAGGCATAAGATCCAAATGTTACTACCCATCTATGTGCCCTTTTATATGCCCCAATAATTTAATATCTGGGAAAAGTTACCCTGCATTACAGGTATGGCTGTGCTGCACAGGGCACATTACTAGGTTACAGGACTGGTCTTTCCAGGAAGTCTGTCACACTGCATGCTGGTTGTTAGATAGTTTCAGAGATGCAGGTGTGGGGAGGGGAGAGGAAACTGCTCCCTGTGTTATTCTATTTCAGTACAGAATCATCACCCACAATGCACCTGTGATTTACTAGGAAGAAATGCTACAGTGACCTTTTTAGTGAGTAATGACTGCATTAAACATGAGAATGTATTTTACTGATTAGTGCATTTTTTATTTTAAATGCAGTGTACCTTTCAGTAATTTTGCTGTGTTGAGCCATATGGGAATATATGAATACTTTCATTACACAAATTAAAATTTAATCCAGAAGAAAAAATAGGGATAACACTTAATGAGTAAAAAATATTTTTAATGAAAATGGTAAAAGGTCCATTATTGTTGTATTTAGCAACTAAAATGTATTTTTTACAAATGTAACATATATGCTGACAGAGCATACAGTATGTATATTTACTGATTCCAGCTGTACTTGAGCCTCATACAAATATCTGTGTATATTTATTTAGTGTGTATTTGATATAAACATGGTTTTATTGTGAGTCTCTTATGGTCTTTGCAGGAAGTCTGTTAAACTGCACTTTGCCGCACAGTTTCAGAGATGCAGGTGCAGGGGGGGGGAGCTGTAGCCGGTATTTGGCTGCTTTAGTACAGACACCATAACCGCAGCTCCCCTGTGATTTATGCAAACCGGTGACTCTGCTTAGTCAAGCGCTAACTGCCCAGAATTAGAGTTTATATCATGATTATTTTATTATGCTCATAATCAAACTGTTTAATTTCTAATTAGCTTCTCTTTAATAGGAGGTTCATGTGTTTTGAAGAGATATGAGGTGCAAATATGGTAAAAGTAAAGAGTTTCGGGATTAATAAGTCAGTCTGCATGAAGCTGGAGGAGATGTGGTGACAGTTTTTATTTGTAGATGTATTTATATAGAGACATAGAGTACAGGGATATTTTAACTGAAAAAAGGACAATTATTCAAATTTCAGACATTTAAAAAAAATAGTAATATTAACAATGAGACTAACTACTGCAGTTGAAGAGAAAAACACTAAAGGAAATATTATGATGCAATATTAAGTTACATAAATGTGAGTATACATTTTAGCTGCTTACATTTCATCTGCTATCCACTATTGTTAAATGTAGACATTCACCCTGACTGCACATGTATTTTGTTGCATTTATGTAATCTAACTAAAGAAAGAATAGCTCAAATAGAATAAATATGAAGTTTAATACTTAAAATAACATTGAAAAGAAGGATTATAACAACCCAAGGGTGAGAATTTATGTACCTGCTTTTTTTTTTTAAAGTAGCCAGTTACAGACAAAACAAACTTAATACCTTATAATTTATCTCCTACATAGAGAATTCACATTTAGAAGACAACTAGCAAACATTATTAACAATAAGTAACCAGACAAAGGAAAATCTCTGTATAATGATAAATAATATTTTTTCTTGCTTTTTTCTTTCTTGTACCTGAAGTTAAAATCACTGCTTTGTCTGAAAAGTTTCAAAAAGAATAAGAATTCGATTTTAAAAATGCTTTTTGATAACTTTTTTTTATTTGCTGACCAGCTCATAATTCCGAATAAAACAATGTAATTATATCAGTTTTCATTTAGTGCTGTGAACAACAGGCTGTGTGGCCCTGTGCTGTGTGACATTGTAGACCAGGCTGAAGAGGAAGAGGATGATGAAGGAGAAGGCTGTGGACCACAGGCTGCTGAACTCATCCTCTTCCTCACCTCCCTCATTACAGCTGAGTGCAGGATCTGGGGGCGATTCCTGTTCTGGGGGGGAGACTGAGGAGAAACAGCAGAGTTACACAGCAGGTAGAGCCTCTCAGTGTCCACACAGTATTACAGATACACACACACACATGCACACACTCTGCACAGCCTCACAGAATCACCTCTCACATGTCTCATGTAGACACACACACGCATGTTTGTAATCATATCTTTGTGGGGACTCTTCATTCATTTCTATGGAGAAATCCCAACATGACGACCTTAACCCCTACCCAAACCCTAACCTTAACCATAAGTAACCATGACACCCTTAACCCCTACCCAGCCCTAACCTTAAACATAAGGTCACCAAACAAAATACAAGATTTGTGGCATTTTAAGTTTTTAAATTGCATTCACAGATCTTTGTGGGACCTGAAACATGGTCCCCCACAACGTCAAAATAACAGGTTTTTATTACATTGTGGGGGACATTTGGTCTGCTTTACAATGATCATGTTGAATACTAATAACACTTCACCAATCATGCTTCATAAACCTAGATTATAAACAGGAAACAATGATTTTTCACATAGTACAACAAAAAAGGACAACATGGGAAAAAGACCAAACGCAAAATACAGAAGGTGAGCAAAGCAGGGGTTTATCATGCTGTGTGAAAGAAAACTATGAGTGGACTTCCTGTAAAAGCTGAAGTTTATAACCAGCATTAGAATGTCTAACGTGAAACTACACTGACCTTCCTGTGTCCACGTGAGATAACAGTGACTATGCAGTGTAAGGAAACTCAGTGGCATCTTCAAATAAGCAATTATTATTCATACAGGACATTCCAGTGAATTACCCTTTGATTTGGACATAGATTTCAATGCAGGTATCTCGACTCCCTTCTGATATGCATGTCTGGCGCTGCAGTTGTACAGTATGTCTTGCCTTCGTCCCAGTCCACTTTTGAGACAGGAAACAGACTGGTGACAGAGTATTTATCCCCAGTCCAGAATGGCTCTCCAGTAATACCCTCCTCCTCCTCATACTGCGTCCCATTTACTTGCCACATGATGTATATTTCCTCAGGATAGAAGCCTGTTACCAGGCAGAGCAGGAAGAATTTACTTTTTCCATTAAGGTCTTCAGGAGATGGTGTTTGGATGGAGACAGTAGGATGCGACATTAAACCTGAAATCAGGTGTTAATAACATTGATGTTTTCTTTACATCTCTGAACTTTATCTTAAATATGAATATTTCTATTTATGATATTAACTCTGACAGTTTGAAATATACCTTTTTGTCCAAAACTGAGGGTCTTTGTGGTAGCAGGACCACCCTTCTGCTGCACACTGCACTTAACTGTTTTGCCACCTTCCCAGTCCTTCGCTGCCAGAGTCAGGATGCTGCTCCTTCTGAAGAGATGATCTGCCTTTTCTGGAGCGGTCTGTGTAATCTTATCTGTCACCTGTACACTGTCCAACATCCAGGTCACTTCAGCTTCTTTTACTGCCTCATCCTCTCCTGTGATGATGCATTCCAGCACAGCCCTGTTATCTATGAGCATCTCTCTTACTCTTGGGGGCTTCAGGGTCACATCCAAACAGGGCCGGCAGGACAGGTCTGGGAGAGGAGGAACACACAGGAGCAGTAGGAATAGGGGCCCAATGCAGTTTTCTACTCATTACTAACAGGACCCAGGGAGGCCAATTTCAGGCTCTAATCACTGGTAAGATTCAGTTTTTTAGTTTTAGAAATTCCGCCAGACTAACCCTCATTCACTACCCGCAGATGCGTCACTCAGAACATTTAAATCATGAAAGCGACATTCTGAAGGGACTTTATTGGCAGAATACATAGGAAAAAACATTTATAAAGATGTCGTAAATCCATCAGGGAAATTTTGAGTCAATATTGCGGCATTTATTACAGTGACCACAGTCTCACACCATCGGGGATCGATTCCCGCTCACGACTCTGAGTATGAGGGTTTTTCCCACAGCGAGAAACGTGAGTTTAAGGGGTACAGTGTCTGTAATTTGCCCTTAGTGTGTGAGAAAATGTGTAAATGTGTAAATGTGTGCTGTGCTGACATCCCATCCTAGGTGCCCCTGCCATGTGCTCTGTGCTTCCTGAGATATAAGGTTCACAATTTTTAATTCTTCATTTCCTTGATTGCTTAACCCAAATCAGCTAAATCCTCAAAGTACTGCAGAATTGCTGAATGAACTTAATTTGTACAAAATCACAATACCTGGCTTCTGTAATGCCTCTGACTTCTCAGTTCCAAGGGTCTGGTGATGTGCAGCACATCTGTAAGATTTCTGACTGTTCCAGTCTGCCGCTTTGACAGTGATGTGACTGACCATCATGGTGCTTCCACTGACCATGACCGGTGAGTATTGATGGAAGTCAGGCAGCGCGTTACCGTTACCGTCATTCCACTTAAAGCTCAAGGCATCCTGGGGTGAAAAACCGCTGGCAATGCATCCGAGGCTGATGTCACCACGAGAGTCTCCAGACCCACATTGGTGAAGGGGGTAAATGTAAGATGGCAGCTCAGCACCTAAGAAAACAAATGTACCAGTCATTAGACATTGTTAGCTGTTACTGGGAACTGGGCCTTCAGGATGTGGGATGTTTATATTGAATGCTGGCTTGGGCGGTAACTGATTTTCCATACCATCCAAGCCTACTTCAGATCATTAGTAAGTTTTGCTAAACCGTTTTTATTCTCCCATTGGACACAAATTTTAGCAAGCTTTGAACCAGGACTGATGGCCAAAAGACATTCACCTTCCACTGTATGGAAATAATTTGGATTCTTTTAAGGGAAATATTGAGCAGAAGCAAGTGATTTGTCAGCACTGCTTTGTGCTGGCTCAACTTGCGTCAACACCAGTAATTTATTTGAAAGACTCCATTGGTAGATAATAATAAGTTCTATTTAGCTATATTTTATTTTGGGTAATTTTTCAACTCCAATTTTGCTTTATAAATATTGCAAAATTTATTGTGAAAAATATATATTTTATTTTTTCTAATATCATGCAGCCTTAGGCCCTACTGGAAACATATACAAAGGGAAATAAACTCATTATGTTTTATATCATGGTTATTTTTTAAATAGGCTATTACAGCTGTACTAATAATTATGCTTCACCAACAAAAATAATTTTCTGGTTAACTATCAAAATGATTACTAATTCAAATGTAAATGTCGATGGATCGTAAATGTGTATGGTCGACACATGATTCTCTGTATAAATTTATTTCAATGTCCCTGCAGTAGCTACCTAAAGCTTAATATTATAACTTGCTGTGTTCTCCCTCTTGCAAAACATCCTGTCTGTCACGTTCGGCTTGGAGGCGAGCAGGGAAGCAGGCGAGAGCAGCCAGGAAGTAAGGTAAATGGGGTTTATTCCACGAAAGACGGACATCTACGGAAAATACATAACAATACAATGACAGATCTGGGGAAGACTGACTCAGACGAGGACTAAATACAAAAGACAAGCTAGACCTAACAGGACACAGGTGATCACACTCAGGGCTGAACACGAGGTAACGAGGTGGGCGTGGCACACATCAGGAGCGGACGGAGCGGGGCGTGACACTGTCCACTAAATGGTCAAATTTATATTATGCTGAGGATAAAAATAAGAAATATGTAACTGAAGTGTAACTATTTTCTCCAAATCTCAGCTTACGTTTTTGATGAAACTCTGAGAGTGCAGTACTACCAAGATAACAAAGATATTTAAATTTGGACATAATGCATGTTGATGATTATTAAAGTTACATTTCTTATTTTTCAGTAACACAAACACAGCATATTACCCATAATATTAATCATAATAGGTTACATCTGAAATATTTTACCAATATTTTTACCAATATTTTCAATTTCCCCTTACCTGTTTTATATTCAAATAAGAAAAATGTACATGATTTGTGATTTAAAAAAATGTAGGTAGGCTATAATATTTATCGAAGCAATAACGCACAATACTTTGCATACAAGTATCACGAGCATATAATGATCATTTTCAAATTGCCTACTTTACAACAGTTTTTAACCGTTCAAAATACTTTAATCCTCACTGCACTAAATGCTCATACAAAATACATTGAATCAAAACGAATCTAATTTCTAGTTTCTTTTATTATTTTACACAGAGAACCTGAGATCATTAGCCTACACGTCGGCACAATGCCTTCCGAGCATTATATACTGTGAATGAAGGTTTAATAGCTGGAAGAAATCCGCCGGTATATAATGTTAGCACAAGCTCCTATTGGAATCACACATTTTCGGTGACTCTTAGGTCCTCCAGAACAAATTACATTCAAGTGATTTTCCGCATAAATTAGGCTAGCATGCATACAGTTCTAACACAGCTATATCACGTTGAATATCTCATTTGCGTTATTACATCTGTGCAGGAGCGGTAACAGGCTTTCTAAGTGTGGGGATATTGAACTAGATCCACAACTCCTAAGATATCTGCAAAGACTGAGTCTGGCTTTTTTTGACCCTGCATGCTTTCCTTATGAATATATCTTTGATCTTACTCGACAGTGTCGTTAAACGTGTTTTATAACTGTCGATTTGTCTATGTGTTTTGAAAACTAGCAGCATGTAGCGTTTTTGGGAAATTCATACAAATATGCGAGGTGGGTCTCACTGGAAACAGACGCGACCGAGTCCCGTGACATGTACGTACCTTTCATAAGCCCAGGACAAAACAAACAAGATTTCTATTAAACATGCAGTGTTTTTTCTTTATTTTAGATCGGATATTTTGCAAGGTGTTTTGTTAAGTCTAGACAAATATGTAAATTGATAACCATAACCTATAATAAACCCCTAAAGAGTATTGCAATGAAACACTTGTGATTGATTTTTAAAGAAGAACTCATCAATTAACAAGCAAATTGCTAAATATTTTCGCAAATAATTCACTTCACTTTGTTACGGTTTTGTTTACCCTGCTTTATGACCTATGGGCGTTACAACTAGCCTATTTCAGTAAATGTCCCATGAATGATGACAAACGTAACAAATGTAGCCCTACATCGGTTTCTTTCAACACTTATTGTGGATAAAATAAACGGTACTCTACAAATAAAAAATTGTTCGCCCTAATTTTAATAATTTAGCCAGACAGATGAAACATCTAAGTATAAAAAATTCGATTGAAATTTAAAGGTACAGTGCCCGTTTTTCATTTAACCCCTTGTCTAAAGTATAATGTTCTATTAATAATCTCTCAGCGTTTATGTTTTAAGCTAAAATAACCTAATTTCAAATGCGTTTGCACTGTTAAAATACAACTAAAAAGTATACTAATCTTAATGGACTATCGAAGTAAGAGTTCGACCACTGAAGTTTATTATTTTTATTTTTACTTAATTTTTTGGACGTTAGAACAGAGACACTAAATGAGCCACATCGATAGTTTGTGGGAGTTTATATCTAGCAAAGTAAACAGAGAAAAACTAAACAGTCAAGTGAAATTGTATGTAGCCTAAGTAAATTTAAAAATACAGATATTAAAAAGGAATAAGCAAAGTGGGGTGAGACGGAGAGGACTTACCGACAGCGACTTTGGTGCCTTTTCCCCAGTAGTCGAAGTAATCACACAGTGATTCATTACATTACGCTACCCGTACAATAACATGCATGCAATAAAAAGCTGATGTGAAAATATCTGCAGAAAAAAAATAATTAATTAAATATATGTGCTCTTAAGCAATCAAATGCACTTACCAATGACATATAATTCTTCGTAAAGTTTAATATAACAAATAGTTTAAAATTAAGCAGAAATCCCTGTGATCAACAATACCTTTGTTGTAACCTTCAAAATGACAGTACGGTTTTTGTACGAGTCCACATCATTGTGTCAGATGTGTCCTACCCCAGCTATCCACATATCTACCCACAATGATACAAACTTGTACAAGAATTGAGCTCCCTTGTAAGGGTCTTTTTTTCATGTTACAATCGCAATTGAAAACATGTAAACAGCAATATGTGACTTATTTAATTTTTATTAATATTGTAGCGAGGGGAGTGGAGAGAACCGGCTCTCTGGTAATGAGCCGCACCTGGAAGGGGTGGGGGAATGTCTCTTAAAGGATACCAAGAGCGAGATTGGGGAGAGAGGAGTTCTGGGATGGTAGGGAAAAGGAAACGTATGTGTGCCACACAGTAACCGCGTTTTCGCTTACTGCCAGGTCAATGTGGGGAGCGTGGTGTGCCCGTCGCTGAGATGATGTCGGCCGCGGGTGAAGATGGTGAGGCAAGAGCGGAGGGGGTTCATGTGCAGGGAAGGTAGGGTTTCGTGTTGTCGGTAGGCCTGGCAGTGGAGGGTGTTGGAGCTTTGGTGCCGTGATTTGTGGCTGGTGCGACCCAACATGGAGCGGTACCTCTCCCTTCGCTGGAGGAGGACTCACTATCACAAATAAAGTAGATGTATATGTGACGTGTGACGCTCACATTTTTCCTACAATCTGGCTTTAATTCACCACCTCCACCTGTCTCATGGCAACAGTGGTGCTTGCTACCCCAGAACACATTGGAAGTCCATCAGCCAGTGTGAGTGCAGCGAATTGCAGGTCTATGCCACTGAGCATGTGGTTCAGTGGGCTAAGCCTCTGTTCCTGTAATCAAGAGATTGTTGGTTCAAGCCTGGCCTTGGAATGTCTGTGGTTCCGTGAGCAAGGCCCTTGACCCCCAGCTCTATGGGTGATTGGCATTCACTGCCAAGCTTACTCTTGTGGAGAGCAAGATGGGGGGGGGGGATGAGAAGGAAATCTTCCCATGGGGGTCAATAAAGTATTAATTACTACTATTATTTTACACCCAGCGCAAAGCAGTGCCATACACAACGTAAATGTCTTTGTTAGCATGAGCCTGACGCAGTTGTCATTTTCTCGTCTAGCGTTCACGTCGTTCAAATGGCAAATGGACTTGCACCCATCTGAATGCCTACAGATCGCTCTTAAAATGAGGTGGAGTCAGATACAGTGTTGGCGCATTGCTATCTTGAAGCAGCAGGAAGCGATTGAACTATTGACCAACAGAAACCTGGTATTTCTGTCACACCCCGCTCCGTACGATCCTAATGTGTGCCACGCCCCCTCGTTAACCTCATGTGGAATCCCAGTGTTTTACAGCTGTTTTGGATTGTTGTCATCAGTTCAGTGTATTTAGTCCGCGTTTCCGTTTGTATCCCCAGTTCGGTCATTGACGTTGTTATGTGGTGTGATTTGTGTTTTTGGCATTAAACTCCGTATTCCCCGATCCCTGGCTTCCGTTCGCCTGATTCCCCGATCCGTGCTGCACGCGACGTGACAATTTCATTGTTATTTAAAGGCTGAAATAATAACATGCACCTACACAGGCGCATGCACAGCATGCACATGCTGAAATGTAACACAAATGGAATAGACGAATTATTACAGAAGGACCCCCATATCCGCAGTTTATTTCAGTCTGGAAAAAAAAAAAGTTTAAGAATTACAGAAATGGTGTCATGACAGCAGGGCATGG